GAACAGCCTAATGGTCATGCTCATGGTCCCGAAGCTACCCAGGAACTTATGCTTTCTACTGCAAAGGATCATATCCAGGTAAGTCATGGCTGTTAGATATCATTTGCAATACAGTAATCTTATTGTCGCGATCACGGCCTAGGGATCCCCAAACCCAGCCTTGTTCTCATATTCACTTTCACAGCTTGTCCCAATGTTTTCCTTTCTTACTACTATTTGTAGTTTTACAAGTTGAGTTAAGACAAAGGTATGGATATCCTGTAGCTAATATCTAATTTCATTTTTCCTTCCATCATTGATTAGATTGGCATGGCAGCGAATCTAATGGATTATGTACTAACCAATCATGAAGGAAAGGAGGTACATAAGTAGACGCCCTTTATTATTTAGCCATTCACAAAGGATTTTACCTACCCTTTCATGATATATGGCTCTTGTCTTATAGGTGAAGGGATCAGAGGTTTTAATGCATGATGCTACACCTGTTGCATATGCTTCACAGCCTACAGAAACTGTATGCAACTTCATTTCTACTGCTTGCATCCTTTAGGTTAATCAAGCATTGATGAATCCTAATTGTGATGCATGTGTACTTTAATTGTATCAATTTTTAATCAATATAGCTACTTTCCTTTGACTTTGACTGACAGATGTGAATGTTACCTCAGCTTTTGAATCTGTGACTCATACCAGCATTTTCATATGGTTTTCAGATTAGCTACGTCTCTGCTCATGACAATGAAACCCTCTTTGACATTATCAGTTTGAAGGTAAAAGAGTAAATATGATTTTTGAACCTTTAGGTAGACATCTGCCTTCTAAATTCTTACTTAAGGGTATGTGTAGACTGATTTCTGCTTTGTCCACCGTTTTCTAACAGACTCCGATGGAAATATCTGTTGATGAAAGGTGTCGAATAAATCATTTGGCATCAAGTATGATTGCCCTCTCGCAGGTTTCCTACTATCTCCCAACTTAACTCAGAGTACACTTGTAGACTAAGGGACTGCAGAGTAGGCTAGTAGAATTTCTTGTGTGGCTCATTATCTTAAAATTAAAATTAAATATGTTGTATTCTGCATGTGAAGGGTATACCATTCTTCCATGCTGGGGACGAGATTCTCCGCTCAAAATCACTTGACCGTGATTCTTACAACTCCGGTGACTGGTTCAATAGGTTTGACTTTGCTCGTGTGTATTTAACATTTCATCTGATGATATATTTCACTCACTGATTGACATAAATGGCGACAAGTTTAGGCTAGACTTCAGCTACAATTCCAACAACTGGGGTGTTGGACTTCCTCCCAAAGGCAAAAACGAACATAGTTGGCCATTGTAAGCACCAACTCGATCGCCTTTAATATGTTTGGATTACTTATAAAACTACATTTTTCTGAAACCAGTCATCTTGTGCTAAATATGTCTTCAGGATTAAACCGAGGTTGCAGGATCCAACCTTCAAGCCTCAGAGAAGCCACATAGTTGCTACCCTCCACAAATTTTTAGATTTGTTACGCATCAGATACTCGTCACCGCTCTTCCGATTAGATACAGCGAAGGCTATCCAGGTCTTGATGACCACTGTTTTATAATTCTCTTCACTAGGTTCTCTGTTCTTGTGACATTATTTGTCTAGTATACCTCTTTTGCAATGCTGTAAAATGTCACAAAGACCAAAAACACTACCACAAGCTCATGCAGGCTTGGAGGAAAAATATCTGTGATTATATTGATCTCATTCATAATCACCACAAAGTCGCAAATGAAGAAATTTCTTTTTTTTGAATACTTGTGGACTGATATGACCACTTTGTATTTTGCAGGAGCGAGTGCGATTTCATAACACAGGCCCCTCATCAATTCCCGGCGCCATTGTCATGAGCATTGAAGATGGTCACAAAGGCATCCCAAATGTATCTCAGATCGATCCAATGTAAGTAAAAAAACAACATGATCCACAAACCTTTCAAAGCTATAGTTCGGTAACGGTACTTGTACTCGCCCAGCTACTCGTTCATTGTGGTCATCTTCAATTCACGCCCCTCTGAGTTCTCATTTCTCTGTCCCGTTCTAAAACACAGAAATCTCGAATTACATCCGGTACAGGTAAAATTGCGCTTTACAGAAATATAACGACATCCTAAGCTTTCGCCTTTCGGTATATTGGTGTGTATTTGAAAAGTTTAAGCTCTCCTCCTGATGAACCGTTTCCGAATCGCAGGTGATGTCAGGCGACGAAATAGTCAAGAAATCAGTATATGACACGTTTTCAGGCAACTTCACTATACCGGCAAGAACAACGACGGTGTTTGTTGAATCGCGGAATGTTTGAAACTTCTATGTCCTAATATGAAAAACAGGTAAGCCATAAAATGCTCGGTCCCATAATACTCTGTCAATAACAACAACATGGCTTTGTTCTTAAAATAATGCCCTGAGTTTCACTTTGTTCCAATACTGGTGGTGTCGTATGAAGCAAGGCATAACAGCATTGTAATGTATTAAAAAGAGTATATGGTTGGTTCGGATCATAATTACATCATTATTTAAGTTTACTTGTATTGATTATTTGATTGAAATTCGGTCTGAAATTTTGTTACCTACAAAGGAAATTTTATTCAAAGAAAATTTAATTCTCATATCTTGATT